GCTTCTGGGTTTTCCAAGAAAATTACCGAAAAAGGAAATTTTTTAAGGAAATTTAGGATCAGCGGAAAGAGTTTTTTCCAGGAACAGAGTCTTTTTAAAATAATATGTGAATATATATATATAAACAAAATGAAAGATATTGCAGATTTTCTCAAACTATATTACAAGATAAAACTACTTATCACAAAGAAAGCTATAGAAAGATTATGTCAATGAATACAAAAGATTTTCAAGAAAAATATCTGGAATGAATGTTGCAAAGTGGTAATTGAATGGGAAAAAACTGTATATATTGATAGGAGATCTAAACAATACCAAGTTCTGATAAACAAGCTTGAAAATACACAAAATCTAGCAAAGACTAATAGTCCTTCATTAGACAAGATATTATATAAAAAACAATTCAAAGGTATAAACTTGGAGGAAATTATTGAAAAATGAATAGTTAAAGAGAGAACATGGTTATATATTTAATATGCTATTTAAAATTTTAGATGATTTAAAGTGATGATCTGTAAGCAATGAACTTGATAACTAAAGAATAATCCAAGTTATTAAAAGAGCAAAATATCATCTTCTAAGTTGTATCTAGAGAAGTTAAACTTCTAATATGGGTGATCTATCTTGTAAAAATCTTTGAAATTGTATAACATTATAAATATACAATAAAAATAAGATATGTCAGCTTGATGACAGATTAAAAAAAAAAAAAAAAAAAAAGAATAAAGGCATATATTCTTTCTTACAAACAATATATTGACCTTGAAAAAAAATATAAAATCTATATTAGAACAGAAACTATTAAAACTATTTTTTGTCAAAATGAACTTGATAATGAAAAAATCAATAAAATTATTAAACAGTATAACTCATAATCCTTATGACTATATAAAATATATAGTATTATCACTGGACTAATTATAAGGATAGTTAAATATAACAAGACTAGAGTATACTATATTTCTAGAAATCTATATATACTCAAAAGAAGAAACTATACTGTAATTTGCTTTTTAATAACACAGATCTCAATAATACCTTAAAATGATATATTTGCATGAAATGCAAAAAAATATTTTAACAAGAATAAAAGTATTCTCAAAAAAGGTAGGATTTCAATAAAGCTAAAGAATCTAATACTAAATTCATATAGTTATATTAATAACAAGCTGATGATATAAAAATATATCAAACTATATCTGAAGTAATATAAGGCTCAACTAATATATAACACTAAAAGATAAATTAGAAACTAAGATAAAAAAAAGGACATATCTTGATAGAAAGAAAAGAAAACACAATTTTCAAGGCAATAAGTCTATCATCAATAAAACAAAGATCACCAAAGGCTTTGTTACTGGTAATAACAGAGAACCTATTAATTCTCACAATAAACAAAGAATATAGGACAGATCTAAAAGCTTTTATCTTGAAAATAAAAGTAATTAAGATTCAATTTATCAAATTTTGGACAATCTCAAATAATTGAACAACAGAATAAATTTAATTGAGAAAAAATAGGCAATCAAAATATGGTAAAAGAGAGGTGATAAAACAACTGCTCCCAAAAGTAGCACCAGTTTAATCAAGGTATATCAAAAGAGAATATGATCTACAAAAACAATCAAGTTTATTCTGAAAAAAAGATGCAATCATTAAAACAATGGTAGATATTAATACAACTTCTTTTAACACAATACTTACTATACTACTTGATGATTTTATTAGTACAATCAAAAAGAATACTATTGAAAAAATAACAAAGAATGGAACTATATAATAATTATACTATAGACAACTTCACATTAGATTGTATTACAATTGGGAACATAATATTAGAGATATTAATACTAGTTTCGACCAATAAAGGATATATAAACTTATATGAAAGCTTAATATAGATAGTCTAAAGATTTGTAAAACTAAGCTAACAGAAGAAATAGTAGATTTTGTTTTTAATTCATAGCAAATATATAAGTTCTTTCATAATTATGATAATAAAAATCCTAAAGGATCTGGAATAAAATTTCTTATTAAAAGAAGCATTAAGAAAAAACTAAAATCAATTGAAAGTTATATAATAACAAGAAGTAAACTCTATATCTATAAAGTATATTTACTATCTAGAAAAGCTGAAAATAAACAGCTACAATAGTTACTTCAAAATAAAATTTTAGATAAGCAAAAAAATCACTTTAAAGTCATAATTATAAGTGGTTTTGATGCAATTGTTAACCCAATAGTGAATTAATCCTTATCTACTAATAAAACAATCACAAAATATAAAAAAGCTAAGATAGATCTTTTTAACTTTCTATAATACTAGAATTATATAAACATTTAAAACTCATAAGAAAAAAAAAAGAATATTATCTTTATATGACAAATAACTCAGCATATAGCAGAATTGACTATCTCTAAATACTACCAGAAATTGGTCTAAATAACATATATAAATTTAAAAATATTTCAATATAGATACTATTGTATAATAAAAACTCTCTCTCATTCATATCAAAACTATCAAATTAGAAAATACTCAAAAGAAAACAAAAATTTTATCTAAAGGAAAAATCAAAGGGAAGGGGAGCTCCCCTTCAAAGCCTCCCAACATCAATGCCCAACATATCTTGTTAAACATAGTCTTAACTGATAACAAAAGGAATTTCAAAGTCTCCATCATTTACAAAAATGACAAACCATTACAAATCTATGTCACCAAACCAGCAAAAGAAATTTATCTCCCATCTCTCAACAACCACTCTAGCTCTTGGCTTATTCCTATCACAATAAAGCACACCAAATCAACAGAAGAGTCTATCGAAGTTGTCCAAGTAAAGTTTGAAGTTACAAAACAGCTTCTCAAATCTCAACTCAAAGTAATTGCCTCACTTTTAGATCCCAAGTCCTTGGAGACACTAAATGAATTTACTGAACACTAAACAGATTTTAAACTGAACACAAATGACAGAGAGCGTGCCATCAAAGAGGTGGTAAAGAATGCCTTGAACTATGACCTATACTTTCCATAGAGTAGAGTTGTAGTTATTGCCAAAGAATCCTTCCAAACATTCGAAATCCAAAAATCCGAATTCCTTAGACCCCCTCCAAATACTCCTGCCTCAAATGAAAAAATGAGCAGTGACAATTAAATGCAGAATGATTGTTTCCCTGAAACCATGCATGCAGAGTCCCCTGAGTGCAACAATAATCACTCAGTCCTCAAGCAATGACTGCAATACATGTTGCAGATCATACCAACTCTCATGCACTAAATGCAACACATGAAGTAAATTATATCAGTTCACACAAGTACTATGTTAGTTCTGATAGCACATGCCCCGCATCAAAATTACTCACAAGTGAAGCAGTCACATCATCATTTAAGTGAATAACAATCTTACCCCACTTCAATCAGATTCATCTCAATTTCAAGTGATATCCTCATGGTTAGACGAAGCAATTGAAGAAGCTGAAACCAGATCTTTATCCCCCTTGACTATAAACAATGATATCAGAGATGTTAACCCAGAAGCCAAATAAGCAAAGCTAATTAAACTATGCAGAGATCTCGATAATTGCGAGTGCACCCCAAAGTCATTGTCGACTGGTTCCTGAAATTAAGAGAAGAAAACAATCCAGGCCTAAAGCCTAACACCAAATCCATTTTCACTAAAATCCTACATAGGAATTGAGATTTTTTCAGAACCTTTGCCAGGGAGGAATTATCAAGGGCCAACACCAGAGAGAGTATGAAAACATAGAGAAAAAGTTTCATGAAAATTACATTAAAAACAATAACATCGGATACATCAATAGAGCTTCTAAGAGAAAAATCAGAATTATTATTAACAAAGCCCTTGCAGTCACCTATATTAGATTCACAGACACCAAAACAATGAAATTCTGGCAGATAGCACGGATGCTAGAATACCTCTTTAACTTCTTTATCAATCCTACCCTGGATAAAATAAACTACCAAAAAATCTATACTCAATGTGAGAAGTGAATAAAGAAAAACTTGCCCAACCTTCCTCAATCACCAAAAGAAATTCCTAGCTCAATTAAAATTAAATTATTAAGGACAATACCATTAATATCACCCAGTCATATTGCTGAAGTTGCCAAAAGCCTCAGAGCATTCTACAACTTTGACCTTTTTTTGACAACCTTTTTTATCCAAAGAACATATCTTCCAGAAGACCCTTCGATACTCAAAGGAGAGCTCAAAAAGCTCTTCCCCCTCATCAAAAGAAGTAACCTCAAAAATCTCAGGCAGCTTACAAACCAACTCAGAGATGTCTACTATGTCCTGGCAAAGCTCTCAGAAAGCTACTTCCAACTGTCCCTCCCAAACAGACACTTCCAGCTTCATACAAAGAGTTGACTCACGATCTGCAACTCTATTTTCCAGTTGACAACGAACCTAGAGTGATAAAAGAAGTAATTGAAATCTTCAGATAGCACAATTATGCAGTGATACACCTCTCTCTCGACTACATTAGAGTCAAGTACCCCTTGCCCCCAGCCCACTAGTTCAGTGAAAATAATGAATTAGATTTAACAATCACTCACCAAGAGAACGTAGAAGAATTAATTACCAATCTCTCCCACAAATTCAAATTCAAGCTTTCATTAGGACCGCAGTGGATCAAAGAAGGTCTGGTTCAAGACAAGCACCTTCTAATGCCCAAAGAGTTTAAAAAGATAGAGACACACCTCAATATCAACAAAGAACAACTCCACAAAGAGTTACCAGACTTCTCAACAACAATCAAAAAAATTAAACAGATATATCAAGGGCAGATTCCATGAGAATGGATCTTTCCGATGCTTTCAGAACTGTCCTCCCTATAAGAAACAAACAAATATCTCAGCCAACATGAAATAAACATTACCCTACCTTTAATAGAAAACTAATATATTAACACTGCAATTCAGCTCCTCTGAGCCCACTTCTTCTTTGACAAACTTCTAATGACCTTCATTACTGAAACTGAGTCACTAGACCCAGATCTGACTCTCTTACCCTGTCTCTTTTAATGAGAACACAAGCAGACTCCAGTCATTTCTTTAATTCAAAATACTCACCCCACTCCGATACAACTCCTTTTCAACCATCACCCCACTTGATCAGGAGCAATCAAAATCAAAAATTGGAAATTTAATAATCATCTCAACTTTAAATGTCCAAGGACTTAATGAAAAGGGAAAGTTCTATACCCTTATAAAAAACATAATCAATGAGAGAGCAATCTTATACTACTCAGAAACCAAGAACATAACTCATAACCCGCTGCCTAAAAAAATCAAAGACAAAACTATTATTTCTAGTCAACCAGCTCCCTCAGCAAGCAATAGTGCCAGCATCATTTTCTCCAAACCAATTTCGAACCACATTTACAACATATTTGCCCCCAATGAATTCTGGTGTGCAGCTCACTTCAAATTCAAGCCCAAAGTCAACATCATAATAATTTCCTGTTACCTAACACATGAACCAACTGCGAGAAAACAAGCAGTCATAATAATCAGAGATTTTACTAGACAACATATAGACAAGCACATCATAATAGTAGAAGACTTCAACTCCTTTCCCAACTTAGCTTCCTCTATCAATACACCCTCTTTGGTTTTCAAGAGACAAGTCTACAAGCACCTACATAAGTTCATTGATGTTGCAAAAGCAACCAAGAAAGAGTCAGAATATACATACATTACATCTACAAGTGCCTCAAGAATTGATCAGATCTGGATAACTGATGACTTGGCAAGCAAGATAATTAGCTATAAAGTCTTTGATCAAACTGCCATACCTACAGACCACAAACAAATCACTATAGTCCTTGATTGGTTTGAGTATAAACTTGACAGAATTTTCTTCTCAACCAGTACCTTTCAGTTCTATCAGGCAACAAAAGAACAAGTTGAATCGATGTAAGTAAACATAGAACTCATCCTCACCACAATAGACAACATCTCCTGGGAAGCCCTCAACCTAGTTATAAAGCTAGCTATGGAATCCAATATTCCAAAATGAAAGTAACAAAATCCCACCTGCCCAAATAAAGCTCTTGTTAGGTACACAAATGCAGTAAAGTCAATCAAAAAATCAATAAACAATCTCAAACACAATCAGAGCTAATCAAAGCTACATCCCTTGGCTGATGAAGCCATAAGAAAACTTTCTAACAACCCTCTGATGATTAAAACTCTGAGAAAAGCTCAAAAAGTTCTTCTTAAAGAAAAAACGTTCAGAGCTAAACAGATAGTAATGGATGAAATCTGAACCAGCATAGAAAAAAACTACTACAGATTCTGGGTGAAACAAAAGGCATCTCTCAAAAAAGCTCTAGGAGATCTCAAACCATCTCTGGATCTGTCAATACTATCCAAAGGAGATCAACTATGTGATAATTCAAATGAAGAAAGCAAAATCATCTCTGACCATTTCAGAAGCATCTTAATACAAAAAACCTTTGAAATGAAAGAGGAGTGGGTAGAATACTACAACCCCATCCCAAGCATCAATAACACAATCTATTTAGACACACTTAGCATTATAACCTCAGAAGAAGTAAAGGATGCTCTTAGTAATCTTTCAAAAAAGAAGGCATCGGGTCTCTCTCTAATCCTATATGAAGTATGGAAAAACTTGGGGAGAAAAGCCCTTAAATTAATAGTCAAACTATTTAACAAAGTCCTCGAAATATTGTAACCCCCACATTACTGGAAACAGTCAGCAGTAGTCCTGCTTCCCAAAAAAATAGTATGGTCACATGAACTAGCTAATACCCGTGCAATCTCTCTCATGAAATCAAGTAGGAAAATCTTCACAAAAATTATAAACAAAAGACTTACTCAACTCTTACTCCAATATAATATCCTCTCCAGTTGCAACTTTGCTGGACTCAAGAACCAAAAAAAAAAAAAAAGTACAATAGAACCAATTACAATTGCACTCTCAAAAGCTGAGCAAGCCAAAAATCTTAATCAAGAGCTTTGAATTGCCTCTTTTGACATCTCAAAGGCATTCAATTCAGTCAATCTTAACAGCCTTCATTATGCTCTCAACAGAGTCAAAATACCTACCAAGATCTCACAGCTCATCTTGAATCTTATAATGGAAAGAGAGCTCAAAATCATCACACGCTATGATCTGACAAATCCTTTAAAAATCAGTAATGACATTGACCAGAGAGAGACTCTAGCTCTCCTCCTATAAACGATCTTCTATGATCCAATGGTTGCTAGAATCTCAAGCAGTTCTGACCCTTCATTAGTAATACTTGCATACATGGATAATGTGGCCCTTATAAGCCAACGCATCCACACTCTTCAAAAAATGACAAACACATTCTGCTCCTTTCATAAACTAAACTCAATTAAGTGCAATGAGAAGAAAACTGATCTAATTAACAACATCAAGACCAGGAGTCAGCATATGAATCAAATCTTAATGGTTGAAGGGGAGCTCATCAGCCCAAACCTTATAAAGAAGCAATCAAATATCTAGGAATCTATCTCTCTGGATACTCATCAGCAAAGGCAACCAAAAATAAACTCAAAGAGAAAATAGACAAATTCACAAAAGCAATTGCTAGTCAGAAGAAATGAAATGGCACCATCACCAAACAAGTATCTCATTGGATCATCCCTATACAACTAGATTATGCAACACAAGTCTCAGTTTTAAGTGATAATAAATACTTCCAATTCCAATCAAAAATGACTAGAGCCATTAAGCAAAAACTAGGAGTCGAATAGGCCCTCTCCAACAAAGTTTTTCACTCTCATATAGACTTGGGCATCATAAACTTATGAGACAGAAGAGACCTTGTAGCAGTCAAACTTCTTATTGCCAAACTGTCCAACAAAAAAACTATTCCAGATGTCAAACTGGAAATCTATTCTATCCAATCTGCACATGCAATTTGGTGCTGTCCAATATGCAACCCACAATACTTTGAGAACTCATGGATAGTCTTAGCTGCACGGATCACTAAGAGATACAACATTAATATATGTCCACACTCTTGCCCTTTTAACCTCAAAAACTACGAACACGCCATCGGTCTCATTACAAAAATGCCTAAATCTACAGCCTTGATAATCTTTAAATCACAAATTTGTACTATTCAAAATCTCCTAATCTTTAATCAAACACTTAAACTAACATGGGACGAGCTTCTTATGCACAGAGAAATGGTAGTCTGTGGTAGAATTCCACCATGGTTCAGTAGAATTCAAATTCGTGACAGTTCAATAATTGGAAACACCTTACCCAAACTACACCCTAGACCAATGTTCTTGGCATACCTATCGAACAACAATTTAAACTTCATAAAAGTCAGGAAAAACACTATTCATACAGACCCAGTTAGAGGTCTTTACTATCTCATCGATGCCAACTCAAAACAATTAATCCCTTGCCACTGTAACAGAACTCCCTACACAATAACAAAAAACATCTCTAAATTAAACTCCTCCTGAACTACTAAAAAGCTAGGACATTACCACCATCTCAACAATATTTTAGAGCT